GGCGGGAAGGTCCAGCAGGAAGGAGGACGACGAAAGAAGGCATGTTGACAGTTGCCATCGAGATTCGAAGTCGAAGAAGAAGCATATGGTCTCGATCAAGATGGATGAGGGAGTGAAATGGTTTCACCCAGTACACCTGACACTTGCAGACACAGAGATTCGATCCCTAGACCTGTGCCCAAACCCTGTACATTGATCCCGTGTGCTGAGTGAGATTTGATCCCTAGACCTACCTTGTACATAGGCCCAGCGATCTGTGTAAGACTCGATCCCTAGGTCTGTAGATTAGGCGTTAGGTCTGTTACCGTTAGGCTTAGGAAGGTCTGTTGTAGAAGTCTCTATCCGAGTCTATTGAGGCCTAGAGTCTGTTTGTAAGTCTGTAGGCTCTAGAAGGTCGTCGGTCCCTGTAGGACAGTCCAGTCAGCAAGTACCAGGGGTAGGGGCTGCACGTGGAGAAGGTTCTGGACCACGCTGTGCGTTCCACACGTTTTGGCGAGAAGGCCAAACGTCTGGAAGCTTCCCTGGGTCACACATTTTGGCCCAAGCCCACACGTTTTGAGGCAGGGCCCGGGTACCTCTGAAGAAGTATAAATAAAGAGGCAGCGTCCAGCCATTCATTCATTCGCATGTGAGCCATGCGGAAGAGCTGCCTTGGTATCTTGTGCGTGGAGGTCTGCAGGTGCCCGGAGAGGAAGTGGGCTGTGAAGACGACAGCGGCCATAGCGAACCAGCGAGGGAGACACTGGCGGCCATCGCTCGAAGGAGGAAGACGACAGTGGCAATAGTCGCCCCGCTGTTGGTGTAGACAGAGTGTACACAGTGTGAGTGGCTGTGCAGCGTGCACATTCAGGGTGATCCTCATACGTGCGTTCATGCGAGAGTGTGGGAGAGTGAGGCTGGTGGTAGAGACAGTGTTTGGCGGCCATAGCCGCAAGTTGTACAGTTGATTCAGACTGAGTTTAATACAAGTTCATTGTTGTTTCTGAGTTGGAAGAGTTTGGTTTGCCATCGGTTCTCGAGTGTGCATGTTGTGAGCAAATCCAGAGTTGAGTCTGATTGCATTGGTATCGGAGCTGGTACCCGTTGTCCATGCCGGCGGAGCTGCAGCAAGCGACGAAGAAGGAAGAAGCCGCCATAGCCGGAGCTCAGAAGAGAGAGACAGCAAGAGAGAGAGAGAGAGAAGGGGGATGGCAGTCATAGCTGCCAAGCTCGGGAAAGAAGACGACCAGCAAGAAGAAAAGAAAGACGCAGAGAAAAGGAAGAAAAAGTGACGAAGAGGGAGACAAAGTCAGTCAAAGCCGAGGTGAAGAAGACGAAGGTTTTGACGAAGAAGAAGATCCACCATAGCCGGAAGGTTGAAAGGTTCACCGGGAGAGTTGACTAACGTTGACTGGGTGTTGACCAACGTTGACTAAGAGTTGACCAAGGGTGTTGACCGACCGTTGACCGAAGTTGACCAGGGCGTTGACCAGGAGCGTTGACCGGCGAGTTGACCAAGACCGTTGACCGGAGCGTCGACCCAGCTGGAGCGAGAAGATTACCGGTACCATCCCTCCAAGCCCTGGCCTGTCCCTTTACCCCGTGGACGTGGACCTTCACCTTGGTACCTGCTGACGTTAAGTCTGTCAAAGTCAGTCAGTTCTATCTCCCTATCACTTCTGTCCAGGTCGGTAGGATCTGTGTATGTGGTCATAGAACCGTGAGTCTAGCCCGAGTAGTGAATCAAGGCCCCTTGATAGAAGTTAACCTGTTCGGTCTACGTGTTGAGGCGCGAAATTGTTGTTGATTATGCGCTGTCACCATGGTGGACCTCAGGTCAGGAACTAGTACCACCCCCTACAGCAACGAGCAAGAGGAGAGAGCTGCCGCTATCCTACGAGAGAGGAAGGAGAGAATGGAGAAGAGGGAACTGATTAAGCAGGCCAAGATGCTGGCCCTGCTGGAGGAGCAAGAGGCAAAGAAGAAGCAGATGGAGGAGGAGCTGAAGAGGGAGCAGGAGGAGAAGATGGCGGCTATACAAGAGGAGGTGGAGAAAGAAGAAGAAGAAGAAGAAGAAGAAGAAGAAGAAGAAGAAGAAGAAGAAGAAGAAGAAGAAGAAGAAGTAAAGGAAGAAGAGCCAATGGAGAGAAGGAGAGGGGAAGCCAGCACAAGCAAAGAAATCGAGATTGCAAAGATTGCACAGGAGTGGGCCGCACATTTGGAGTTGGGGGAAGACAAGGAGGCCGAGATGGCCATGCCCCAGGAAGAGAGAGAAGCAGCAAGGAGACAAATTGAGACAGAAAGGGACCCGGTGAGGAGGAAGGCGAAGGAAGAAGAACAGCAAATGGCATGGAGATACCGGCTGTCCCAAGAGAGGGTAAGACAATTGGAAGCAGTGGAAAGGGCAGAAAAGGACCTGAAAGCGGCGGAAGCCAGGATGGGGAAGATTGGGGCCGAAACTGAGATAGCCACCGAACTCGCTACCCTGACCCAAAGTGTAGAGTCGTTACTAATTGCGCACCGCGAGCAAAGGCAGTACATCCACACCTTAGAAGTAAAGATAGATGCAATGCGCTTTGGGTTCAAGGATTTTGTGAGTGACATGATGAAGTACTTACTGGCTGAAGTCCATAATGCAATTAGTAAGACCAGAGAGTTTTGTACCGGCGCCATTGAAGGCGCCAAGTTAGCGACTCCTAAGGAAGAGGAGCCAGCCCCACCACGCCGTGAGAAAGTTAAGGTTCATTTTCCCAAACCCTTCAGTGGAAAGAAGGGTGAAGATTTCGATAACTGGGAGGCCAACGTGCACTCCTACTTACCTGCAGGGAGTCACGCCTGAGGACCATGTTTTGGTGGCCTTCCAGGCCCTTCGAGACGAGGCGACTAGCTTTGCTAGGTCGCTTGCCCGCGCTGCAAATTGCGAGAATGATATGGTTACATATTCTAGATTGACACCCTTCTCCGAGTTCCTGAAATCGCTCAAGGAGCGATTCTTAGATGTGACGCGGGGGCTTAAAGCCTCCGACAAATTCTAAATGATACACACTCGCCAGCAGAAGAGTGTGCACGCTCTCAAGTCCGCCATGGACGAACTGATTGCAGTCCCTGGGCATGGAGTAACCGATGCCCAACTCCTTAGCACAAAGATTTGTCGAAGGGAAAAACGTGGAAGGGACACACCATCTAGGGCCAAATCAAGGCCAACGACAGTTTGATACTAACGATGGAGGAAGGTGGTGCTGACGAGGTTCCCTACTCTAACATCGGGTGGGGACTAGAGGAGGAGGAGAACAGCGGCGCAGGCCAGGGGAGAACCTACGCTGTTGTCGCGGTCGGAGGGAGGCCGCAAGTAGGAGGACAACGGTCCGACCAAAATGGCCAGGCCCTAGGTGGCCGAGGACACGACGGCCAGGGGGTTGGCGGCAACTGCAACCGCCAAGAGGGAGGAACGGGAGGACCCCCGTCTAACCGTCCGCGTTTTAGTCGGTCACCCCCCAGACAGGGAAGGTGGCATCCAGGCCGGCCCAAAGGCCGACCCTGGTTAGATCTGGGTATAGATCAAAGAGTATGGCAAGAACACATCAACAGTTCTCAGTGCGTATTATGCGGGGGGACCCATGCCACATTATCAAATTTTGTCCTAAGTATACGGACCGTGCTGCGTCTGGGGAAGCAAAAGACAGCCGCCTGTAGGGGTCGCAACTGCCCCTACCCCAGGAGTATGAGGATCTGAGCGTGCGTGCGAAATAGTCTCCCACACCACATCTCTCCATGGCAGAGGTTGCAGGCCAGCGTCTAGTAAGTTGTCCAGAGACTGCTTGTGTTAGGGTCTCTCTAGACGCTTCCCTCACAGGCTTAGTCGAGGATTTAAAAGAGAGGAGGCAAGCCTGGGCCAAGATGAAGAAGAATAGTACGAACAACTTATCCTCTCGCAGATGTAGAATTTTTTAGAGCTAGAGTACGTGCCCTGATAGACAGTGGGGTGACTAAGAGTTATATCAGTCGTAAAGCGCTGAAAAAGTTGAAGCTTAATTTGAAAGTCCAACGCTTATGCTACACCTTCGAGATGGAGGGGGCGAGGTTGGAAGGACCTGAATTTACAGAAAGTGTTCAGCAACAGATCCAAACAGAAATAACTGCAAAATGGAATAGAGTCAGAACACAAACCCGACCGCTGAACAGGCGAAAAAACATCAAACAAAAAATTCAGGATTCAGCTCAAACTGGCTTGCGGGTGCAAACGGAGGGAGGATAGGAATGGTAGAATGGAATGGAGAACACAAAGAATCAGGGGAGGGCCAAGAAGGAATGGAGATAGTAAGAGTACCGCTTGGTGTTCCATGAATGGACCAAAGTGGATGTAGCAATCCCATTGAAACCCCCCGAAGAATTCCCTGACTTCTTCCCCCCTCCATCAAACTATCTAGTGGAAATGCAGTGGTACGTAATGGATGGATGATCTTAAGAGAGTTTGGACAGGCGGCTATATTTTAGGTTAACCCCCTCCCTCAAAGCCCACACCCGAGACACAGGAAGCTCAACACTAGTTTGACAAGTGAGATCTGGCACCATAAGGAATGGTGAAGAGGTGTGGGAGCTGTCCAAAGAGTGGAATTAGGTCCTTGATGGAATAATAGAGACAGAACCTGGCAGTAGAATGCCTAAGGGGGCAGCCTATAGGATGTCTCCTAACGAGTTAGAGGAGCTTCGCAGACAGTTAGATGAGCTCCTAGAAAAAGGATGGATCGGACCTAGCTCATCACCATTTGGCGCATTTGTGCTATTCGTCCCAAAGAAAGAGGGGAACTACGTATGTGCATAGACTACAGGGGACTGAACGCCATCACAATTAAGAATGCAGAGTCATTGCCCCGTATAGACGACTTGTTGGATCGTGTGCAGGGATGCACGTATTTCTCAAAGATAAATATGAAATCGGGATATCATCAAATAGAAGTGCACCTTGATGATCAGTATAAGATGACGTTCAGGACGAGGTATGAGCATTACGAGTTCATAGTGATGTCGTTTGGACTTACTAACGCACCAGCTATGTTTCAGCGCTGCATGAACGACTTGTTTAGACCGTCGTTAGACAAATTTGTCGTAGTTTATTTAGACGACATCCTAGTATTCAGCAAGACCCTCGAGGAACATGAGGGTCATCTACAGCAGATTCTAAGCAAGCTAAGAGAGTCTAACTTTAAGATTAACCCAAAGAAGTGCAAATGGGCCAAGACACAGGTCCTTTACCTAGGCCATGTATTAGACGGAGATGGTATTCGGCCCGAGGACAATAAGATTGCGTCAATTAGAGACTGGCCGACTCCTAAGACACTGACAGAGTTGCATTCGTTCTTAGGACTGACTAACTACTACAGGAAGTTCGTACGAAACTTCTCCACGATCGCTGCTCCCCTCCGTAGGTTACTAAAGAAAGAGACTATCTGAAAATGGGATCAGGATTGTACGTCAGCCTTCAAGAAGTTAAAGAAGGCCTTCATAGAGTACCCTGTCCTCAAAGTTGCTGATCCGTCACTACCATTTGTTGTCACCATAGATGCTAGTCAGTATGGCATAGGTGTCGTTTTGCAGCAAGATGACGACAATGGTTATAGGCCCGTAGAGTTCATGTCAGCCAGGCTGCCCTCAGAGAAAGTCGCAGCATCGACATATGAGAGAGAACTCTACGCTCTCGGGCAGGCTTTAGACCACTAGAAGCACTACCTGCTTGGGAGGCACTTCAAGGTATATTCTGATCACGAGACTCTTCGATGGGTAAAGACACAGGCCAAGATGACAACCAAGTTGACTAGATGGGCCGCTGAAATAGATCAGTTTGACTTTGAGTTAAAGCCCGTGAAAGGAAAGTACAACATGGTAGCCAATGCTTTGAGTAGGAGAACTGATTATTACGGCGCGATAGTGCACTATCTAGACATAGGGGCCGACCTGCAGCAAAAGATCAGGGATGCATATGCTCAGGACCCCATCTACAGTGAATTGATGAAGAGAGTAAGGGAAGCCCCAGATAGCGAGCCGCACTACCAAACCACGAACGGGCTACTGTTTGAGAAAACCAATGTCGCTAACGGACTATCCGTCCCCAATAGCGAAGAGAACCGTAGCCTGATCTTAGGGGAATGCCACGATACAGAAGGGCACTTCGGACAACAAAAAACTCTAGGTGGCCAGGCATGAAAGCAGATTGCATAGAGTATGTGCGCAACTGCAAGGTATATCAGCGGAATAAAACTACAACCAGAGCCCCGCTAGGTCTTCTGAGACCCTTGCCTATTCCATTAGGACCCGAAGATTTAGTGTCCATCGACTTTATGGATACTGGGGTCAAAAGTAGGCACGGCAAAACTCAAGCCATGGTCATAGTAGATAGATTTAGTAAGTATGCAGTGTTTGTTCCCCTGCTTTCAAAGGCACGCACAAACTTAGTCATTAGTAAGTTTTTTGACTTTTGGGTAAGCGAGCATGGCATGCCGCTGTCCATAGTTAGTGATAGGGACACGCGGTTTACTAGTCAGAATTGGCAGGATCTTATGAAAGTCTATGGGTTGTTGATGTCGTCAGGACGACACCCAAAGACTATTGGCCAGACAGAGCAGATGAATAAGATCTTGCAACAGCTACTCGGAATGTATATTAGACCAGATCAGATAAACTGGGATGAGATGCTTTCCAAGGTAGCAAGTGCCTACAATAACAATGTTCACCTAGCTACTTGCAGGACTCGTAACGAGCTACATAAGTCCTTTCGACCTAGGTGACCGTTTGAGGGATAACCGGGACCAGATACAGTTCGAGTGTTCTCGGAGGACCTCGAATTTAGGGCAGCTGGAGTGAAATGGTTTCACCCAGTAGACGCGACATTTGAAGACACAGAGATTCGATCCCTAGACCTGTGCCCAAACCCTGTACATTGACCCTGTGTGCTGAGTGAGATTTGATCCCTAGACCTACCCTGTACCTTGTACATAGGCCCAGCGATCTGTGTAAGACTCGATCCCTAGGTCTGTAGATTAGACGTTAGGTCTGTTACCGTTAGGCTTAGGAAGGTCTGTTGTAGAAGTCTGTGTCTGAGTCTACTGAGGCCTAGAGTCTGTTTGTAAGTCTGTAGGCTCTAGAAGGTCGTAGGTCCCTGTAGGCCAGTCCAGTCAGCAAGTACCAGGGGTAGGGGCTGCACGTGGAGAAGGTTCTGGACCACGCTGTGCGTTCCACACGTTTTGGCCAGAAGGCCAAACGTCTAGAAGCTTCCCTGGGTCACACGTTTTGGCCCAGGCCCACACATTTTGAGGCAGGGCCCGAGTACCTCTGAAGAAGTATAAAYAAAGAGGCAGCGTCCAGCCATTCATTCATTCGCCTGTGAGCCATGCGGAAGAGCTGCCTTGGTATCTTGTGCGTGGAGGTCTGCAGGTGCCCAGAGAGGAAGTGGGCTGTGAAGAAGACAGCGGCCATAGCGAACCAGCGAGGGAGACACCGGCGGCCATAGCTAGGAGGAGGAAGACGACGGCAACAATAGCCGCCCAGCTGTTGGTGTAGACAGAGTGTACAGAGTGTGAGCGGCTGTGCAGCGTGGACATTCAGGGTGATCCTCATACGTGCGTTCATGCGAGAGTGTGGGAGAGTGAGGCTGGTGGTAGAGACAGTGTTTGGCGGCCATAGCCGCAAGTTGTACAGCTGATTCAGACTGAGTTTAGTACAAGTTCATTGTTGTTTCTGAGTTGGAAGAGTTTGGTTTGCCATCGGTTCTCGAGCGTGCATGTTGTGAGCAAGTCCAGAGTCGAGTCTGATTGCAGGGAGGAAAAATGAACCAAAAAAAAGGATGGATCACGGCACTCGGAATTTGCCGCTTTCAGGGGGGAAGAAAGAGGGAACTCATAGCAGAAACTCCATTCATGCAATTGAGGGCCACGTCACAGAATTTGTCATTTTTGTCATTTTTTGGAAAAAAAGAAAAGCAAATTCATCGCAGGAAATGATGATTCAGTACCATTCCTGCAATCTATTGATGACACACATGAATCGAGATTCGGTCCAAATTGGGGGGGGGAAAAGAAAAGAAAAAAAAAGGCACCATCATCGAGTGTTGCTGTACGCCACGGCGGGGTCCACTTGTTCTTTGGAAAGAAGGTTGTCTAACATCAAAAACAAAACAAGAAAAACAAGAAGGAAAAAAAAAATTTGCACAGAGGAAAGAAGGTTGTCTGCAACCCCCACAGACAAAATAACTTTGTCCCCTCCTTATGCTCAAGGTGGTGGCAATAGAGACAGAGAGGAGGAGCAATCAAAAGCATTTGCTGCACTAACTCACCAGCTTCCCCGTATTCATCAGTCCTATGCCCCTTGAGTAGCGCAAAGTTACCTCATTCTCTGTCGGATTGGAGAAAGCGCGGACCTGAGAGTAATCAGCTCACCCACACACACACAAAAAAAAACAACAGTAATTAGAATTAGTCAAACTCAAGCAGATTCAGGACAGGATGCATCTGGACAAAGCTATGTCCATGTTCAGTCATTTCACTCACTTGCCCTTACCAACAACTCAAACACCAGTGTCACCATTCACGCCAGCATGGGAGTGATCTCCAGGGAGCAAGCGAACTGGCCAGGAAGGCAACAGACTTTTGTGATTTCTTAAACCTTTTTTTAGGTGTTTAATGAACTTTAATCAACTTCAATGTTCAAAAAGTGAGTGCAATGATGGCAGAGAGAGAGGGTGGCTACATGAGGGAGGACTGACATCGGTCCCAGCTTGTGTTCTTCTTCGTCTTCTTCTTCTTCTTCTTCTTCTTCTTCTTCTTCTTCCATTCTCTCTCTCTCTCTCTCTCTCTCTCTCTCTCTCTCCCCCCCCCCCCCCCCCCCCCCCCCATTCCTTCCCAATGCCCAACTGCAAGAGGCGCCGTTACTTTTCCTCCTGTCCCTCCCGATAATGCTTTATCAATTCTTTGCTATAAATCCGCAAAAACATGCAGCAATATGTTTTGCGACATTTTGAAAATTGGCAAAAGCTTTGGACAATTCAGCAAAAGGACCTTTGGCGTAAACCACCAGCTCACACGATCGTAAGTTGATGAAGCTACCTTCCAAGGCTTGCAAGCCTTTTCATGTGGCCTTCAACCTTCACTACTAGCCGAGGCCCGAAATGTCATGGCCTTACTGCATAAACCCGTAAGAGCCTGATTTAGCTTCAGGCGCCGGGGTATGGACTCGTAAACAATCGGATAATTGGATGATCTGATGTTCAAGGACTTACTTAAATCCTCAGATGGTGAAAATGTAATAGATTGTGAACCATTTTAGGTCCAGTCATCCACTGGACAACCTGTTTGAACATTGGCCGATGTGAGAGGAAGCAAAAGGGTGAAGGAGGAGAACGAGAAATTGGATGATCTGATGTTCGAGTACTTACTTAAATCCTCAGATGGTGAAAATGTAATAGATTGTGAACCATTGTTAGGTCCAGTCATCCACTGGACAACCTGTTTGAACATTGGCCGATGTGAGTGAAACAGTTTTCACCTTTGGCAGTAGCCGATGCAGATCCCAGGGGTCGATCCCTTGACCTCAGCTTACCTGTGTACAGTATCTGCACAGTTCCCTGGAGTTGAGCCCGTGACCTGCACGATAGCCAGTGGTAAGTAGGTCGCCGTAGGTTGTAGGCTGTAGGGAGATTCGAACTGTAGACCTGT